CTAATTCATAATTGTATTTAGTATTGCCATGCATAGGTACAAATATTTTTCGTAATTTCATTTTCATTGTTGCTAATTAATAAAATAAAAAATAAATAAATTAATAAAATAAACAAGAAAAGCAAAATAAAAATGATAAATTAAAAATAATTATTATTATTGAAATAACTTCATATAATTATGTTATTTTGCAAAAGGAGGAAGATGTAGTGTGCACACATATTGTATACCCACTGTACCAAGAGTACTTAAAGGGTACACACTGTACTACTTTGTTGCAGTGCATACATAATTTAATTGTCCCGGTCTCAAGTCCCAAGTGCCCGAAATATGAACCGATCACTAGTGCATAATTGTAACACGAACAGCCCACATGTTCATATACCTCGCGCTCCCGCTTAAGAAAGCATAGCTTATATACTTAAGCATATACATAGGCGTCTCTCTGCCGCCGTCTGTGGGCAGCGCAGGGACGAGACTTAGCCTTACTTAGAATTAAAAAGAATAATGTAAATCAGAAACGATATATACGTTAGAGCGACGACATTGCTGCTCCCACAAAAATAAACAAGTTAAAACCAAAAAAAAACTAACTTATTGGCGACCCCTTGAAATTACTTTATGGCGACCATTTGAACTTACTTTACAACCTTTAATAGTTCTTATAGTTACAAGGACTCTATAACAGCTAAGGCTTCTAGTTCGTAACTATGGTAACTCTTCTCTGGCTTGGAGGTGGCTCGGCTATAGTATGCGATTGGCTTCATCTGGCTGATATTCATCTCTCTGCATCAAAACTCCGGCTAATCTACCGGCGCTTGCCTCTGGATGAACTTCATGTTTGAAACCTAAGCGAAGGATATCGTCCATGTAATGCATCGTGTCGCCTTTTAGCACACGCCTCTCTAACTCTGCCATAAGTCTATTGAACGCAGCAGATGCATTTTTTGATCCAAACGGAAAACGTTTAAACTCAAACAATCCATCCGTGGTAATATCCGAGGCTCCACCTCGATCTGGTAATAGCCGCTATTTAGATTTAATGATGAAAAATATGCGAACGTTTTGCTTCCTACAGCTTCTCCTCGATATTCGGCCCTGGAAATTTTTCCATAAGCTTGTTGAGGCGGCGGTAATCGATGCAAAGTAGATCACTACCGTTTGGCTTTTTGATAAGCACCTCCGGGTTAGTGTACTCTGACGTGGATGGGGTTATTATGTCACGTTCCAATAGCTCATCTACCATCTTGGCAACAACTTCCTTCTTTGGCTCGGAACCTCGATATGACGCTTGGGAAACTACTTGGCCACTCTCAACAACAATGTTTGCCTGGACGACGTTTGTCTTGCCTATGCCTTACAATCCTGTCAGCGAACCCCTCGAGCAGATGCCTTCTTTCTTCATCGATCTGTAAATTAACAAGAAGCTTTTGAAAAATACTCTCGCTTGAAAGCGTTACCGGCTGATGAACTGCTCTCTTGACTTCTATTTCACCCGGATCGAATTTTAGCACAACTTCGGCGCATTTGATTTCATCTTAATCCAACAATAAATCCTCCTGCAACAGTTTGTCGCTTGCGATGTATGCTTTGGCCGTTATAAATTTTCCTGCGATGTCAATGTCCACAATCATGGCTTTGGAAAGGAATCGTGAGCCTCCACAAATTCCTACAATTTTCAAAGAGCACGGCCGGCGATCTGCGTCTATCTCTTCAGCAACTGATTGGTGAATTATAATGTTTTTGCTTCCAGTGTCAATGAAAGCTGTATAACCTTTCGTATTGATGTATATTTTCCTAGTGAACAGCTTTACCTGATTGGATGAACCCAAATGCATACCCTGTGCGACCTGGCAGTTTTTAGTTGGCGGAATGGAACTTTTTGCAACTGGAGCAGAGTGTTTTCTTGCTTTCTTTTGGGCACACATTTCCAAAATGCCGGTTTTCGCACTTTAAACATGCTTTAGGATCTTATGTTCCAGCTTTACCTTAGAAGTACTGGATTTTGGTCAAAACTCTTTCTGATTTGCATTAGGCCTAAAATAAGACAGCGTCGGCAGTGTCGTGAAACTCCTTCATCGACGAAAATTGAATAGCTGCAGTACTGTTCTACAAACTCTCCGTGTTGTAAACCTGCTCGGGCATATCGAATGACTTCTGCTTCGCTAACGATCACCACTGTCAGAAAACCTTGACTGTTTTCCTTCGTATGTACAACCGCAATCGTTTGCACACAAAATCTTGCACCCACGAGAAACTCTGTATGAACGTCTGCAAGCGAGATCAGCACTCGTGAATTTTACTTTCTGTGAATTTCACAAGGACGCTACGGATACACACAAGCTTTTGCATGTACATAAACCTCAAAGATTAGGCAAGATTCCTGAGCAGTCCGTTTTGAATCCATCAGCCGCGTAGTAAAAGATACCGTGATTTGCAATCGCTTGTCACCTAGACCTTTGGAAAATCTTATCCCATTACAAACTTTCCACGCCGACAATTCTTCTGCTGCTTCTGCTGTTCAGTGTCTCTCACTGTACCTGCCTCTTACTCATTGCCATTTCGTATTATCCCACTTCTGAACTGTAAAGTGATTTCTTCTTATATGTATACAAGCGATGAGCATAAGGAAAACTAAGTAAAACTAATAATAGCGCTTTTAAACAACTGTACGTGCTTTTTGTTTTCTCATGCAACTCTAACTTTTCTTCTAATTTTTCTATCGGTATTATTGCAACCATCGCATAACTATCGCTAACGTGCGGTTTCTGAATCGGGACTTCCAGTGGACCACAACCGACTCGTCATATATATATGGAGATTACATTTCGAGTGCTAAAAAAGATCCGGTATCTGAAAGTGCCGATGGAAAGACCGTACTTATAACCGTTTTGTCCATTGCGGGTCTCAAGTAATGATGCTAAGAGCCCTGTTAATGTATTCACCCAGGATGTAAGACCCGGCCTACCGATCAATACTGGCACGGCAGACAATTAGGCTGCCTTCCCAAAAGACCTAATAGTAGTTTCACGTCTCCCCCCTGCTCGAACATCAAAAGATCTTATTGCATTTATCCTATCTTATTTCCAAGCATTGCATTTCATCTTTCGAAATAAATGTCCTTCCTTATCAAAATGTGCTCTACTTTATGATAGGGACAAATTGAGAGTCCTTGGAGATTTCAACATCTATTTCGTCTATTTGGTCCTCAAATAATTCTATAAACACCCTCCTAACTTCTACACAGCATGATTTTATTGCTGTCTTCTTTAATATTTATCTGTCTCAAGTCAACCATGTATGAAATTTCTTTGAGTGCTTGCTTGTATTTTGTTTTGTCTCAAATCCGGAGAGAGTTAGTTAGCTAGGGTGGCATCGCTGAAGCACTAGAAGTCAGACATCATCCTACTTACGATGTAAATGCTTTACAGTTATTCTACGGCTCGATCAATCTTTACCGTACTGGACGGAAGTGTTACAAAAAGAATTTGGCCCTTTCGAGGATTTAGCTCTAGTCTTGTTTGTTAAAAAAAAATGAAAGCCTTCAATAAGTTCTTTCGTGCTTGCATTTAAAAATATGACGTTTATAATATTCAGTGAATTGCGGTTGGATTTGCGAAGTTCTATCTACTTATAAAAGATCCAGAGCCTGAAATCAGAATATTTTTTACATCTGGGCTGAATTTCACCTAATTTTAGTCTAGTTAAAACGTTAGCCTTTTTTTGTTATATCTCCATTGTGTAAATCCAGTTTAGGTAGGTCTCGACAGAATACTTTCAGACAGACGAAATTTAATCTGATTTCAGTAAAGCATTCGATTTCTTTGATCATTCATTTCTTTTTAAAAAACGTAACCTAATGGAGTAACCAGTTGATTTTCAAGTTATCTGAATAAATAAAACAACATTTATTCTGAAAAGGATCCATTTGGGTCCCAAACTGCGAAATTTTTTTTATTTAAAAGGTCTAACTTACCCTAGAGTCTAATGTATTCGGACGAAGATAAGCCTTTCGTGCAATATTAGAACGGTTGTTTCCTTTAAAATTATTAAACTTTTAAAGATGCTAATCAGTCAGGACCTAAACTCAGACAGTCCAGGAAATATTTATTTACGGAAAAATGCAGAAATAGGGGCCAAGGCCGGGATTTTACTTGTAGGTGCGAGAGCGAAGTTGAAGGGGTCCGTATAGGACCACGACTCGGCCACTAGCCGTTGGAGTAATCGGCCCCGATCGGACCGATGATCAGGAATGTACCGATTTGAGCCAAGGCCAGGGCTAGGGAGATGGGAGCCTGATCCAAGCAACCGAGCCGTCAACAGTATGCCGATTGGCTAGATCCGGAAAGGAACCGCGCGGCCAGAAAATAATTCGGCCCGCCACCCCGGTGCCGATTCTCCCTGGAGCGAAAGGTGCTGTCGAAAGGTGTTGCGACTCTAGGCTTAACGTGTATGGGTTAGCCATGCCGTAGTTTGGCCTTGCCTGTATGGGTTGGCTCTGCCAAGTGTTGGTTCTGCTGGTGTGTGGCTCTGCCGAGTTTTGGCTTGCCCGACTGTTGGCTCTGCCGAGTTTTGGCTCTGCTGATTCAGGCCTTACCGGTACGGCTCTGCAACTCGGAATTGGCTTTGCCAATATTGTATGGCTCTGCCGAATGTTCGTGTCGTCGTGAATGCGTGACTCTGGCAAGTGTTGGCTCTGCCGGTGATCATGGAATCCTTTCTGGTTTGTCGTCGTGTCGGTGAGCTAGCGTGCGCGACTGGGTGTAATATTCCCAGCCATCCCGAAGCCTTCCTGCCCTCCTTTGGACTTACGTCACGTCGACGTATAAACTAAAAGGATTGGAACTTAGCATAATGGTTACTTAAATATAGCTCTTATGAATTAATAACTTACTTTCCTCATACTACTACTATGTTCATGAATATTTACATAAGTTTTTGTGGGGGATCAGGGGGGTTCTTACAAACTAGTTATACTTACAATAGTAAAATCTGCTTACCTTATTTGCATTTTTCCATGCGTCTTCCAAGACTTTAGGGTGGGTCCAAATCTGTTATAATAGGGTATAATTAGTATAAAATATGTTTCGATTATGTTCACTTACTTTCCGTAATACTGTATAATCAGTAATTAGACTTTTTCCGCGACTTTCTCCCCGTCCACTAATTGCTTCCAATATAGATTTATAGAGTGAAATCTAAAAATATATATAAAATTATTTATTCTTGTGAAACAAGCAGTAAAATAAACATTTAACAAAAAGTATATACCTAAATAAGGTATACAAAATTACATCTTATTAAAATGTGAGTTGTCAAATTATCAAGTTGAAATATACTATTTAACTATGGTGATCTCGTGCTCAGTAGTAAAATAATACGGGTCCTGGCCCACTAGGTAATAAATCATGTCAAAAAGGGGTGGGGGTGACCCTAAATAGTCACGCATGGTTGCACACAGGTATCATAATGACCTAATTAGCATAAAAAGGTCACTTAATTAAGTTAGAAAGGGTGGGGGTGAGGATCACCCCAAAGAAATGGTGAAAGTGAGTGAGGTGTTTTGTCATGTCTTGTCCTGTCTTGTTTTTTCTCACCCCAAAGGTGTATGTGTGTGAGGGGTGTTTTCTCATGCGTAAAAATGTGTGGTTGTTTAGAGTGATCTTTAGCCGAATAGGGTGTGTAGGAGTATGAGAGAGGGGTGTTTTGTGATATTTAGGTTGAGTAGTAGGAGGAGGAGGAGGGGGGAGTTGTTTTATTATGCGTGTCCGTTTTGTTGATTCAATTAGGGTTGTAGATGATATCTGTCTTCAGTGATCTTGTGACATACTTTTGTGGTGTGAAACAAGCGTGAGTTCGAGAACTTCCCCCTCTTTAGCGAGCATTAGGGAGCATTAGATGGGAAAGTGTGCGTGAATATCTAAAGTATGGTGCTTTTAACTTGTATTAAGTTAAGGGGTGGGTAATCTTAAATGTTTCAATTCTATAGTGGTGGTGGTGGTGGTGGTTCCTAACAGAATATACACAAACACAAATGAGATCGTTTATTTAGTCAAATACGTTTTTATTTGACCATATTCGAAAATTTTTTTTCTTACACATTTATATTATGAAGGAAAAACGGTTACTTTCCAAGTTTTCAAAAAAGTTATGTGTTAAGGAGAAATGTAGAAAGTAGTTCAGTTTAAGAAAACTATCCGAGTTGAGTGAATCATATAAAATCGTCGTGCGAACCTTTGAAAAAAATAACATAAAAAAATAATACTTAAAAAAAACAATAAAAAACAAATCAAAATAAAACTATACGAGTTGAGTGAATCCTATAAAATCGTTGTGCGAACCTGTGAACAAAATAACATTACAAAATAATACTTAAAAAAAAATAACAAAAAACAAAACAAATCAAAATAAAACTATCCGAGTTGAGTGAATCATATAAAACGTTGTGCGAACCTGTGAAAAAAGTAGCATTACAAAATAATACTTAAAAAAAAAACGAATCAAAATAAATCAAAATGGATAAGTATTGTGCAACATTACCCTGTCAGGTAACATTTCGTGGAGCCATCATCTGTGGACGGAGCAGCATAAAAGAAATGTCATCGAGCCAGTGGATTCAAAAATTAAAAAAATCAGATCTGGATTCCAAGGAAGGATTATTCAGTATCTATATGAAAATACCAACAATGATGTGATTTATCCAACACGATTTATGGAGGAAGCAGGAGAAGCTCTTCTTCCACACATGTATCCATTGTTGGAGAGTTATGCATCAGTAAAAATTAATTTTGAACTTTTCGGAAAATACGCGCTCTTGAAGGAAAAAAAGGAATGCGAGGAAATAAAGTCATTTCAAAGAAAAATGACAATAATCACCGCCTACTCGAATATTGAAAATGAATATAAGGAGGACATGGAGAAAATTTTAGTGAGGATGGAGGAATTCCAAGAAAGGGATAGTGGATGGACATTGATTCATCTCATTCGATTGGAAATGAATATTAATCAATATTCACCTTTAAGAGGATCATCGTATATTAAACTACCCTCTTGCTTAGAAAATAAAAAAGCGATAATAAATGTTAAAAACCTGAGTGATGAATACTGTTTTAAGTGGAGCTTAATCGCTGCATTAAGTAATCTTAATAAACATGCAAGCAGGTGCACAAGTTATAAAGTGAATATAAATGATGATCTCATTCAAGTCAATGGGATCACATTAAATTTCAGTGGAATGGAATTTCCACTTAAACCGTCGGACATTAATAAATTTATGCAAATAAATAAAGAAATTAATATAACACTTTTCGGATTCGATGATGGAGCTATTTTTGGACGCATATTCTATTCCCCTGAAGTGAGGAAAAATTCTATAAAAATGTTGCTATTGGAGGAAGGATGCAAAGCACATTATACTTGGATAAAAAACCTATCAAAGTAAGTAGTTTTATAATATCATTATTAATGTGTACAGTCGAGTCCCGATAATTCATACCCCGCTAAATCGAAAATCGCGATAATTCGTAAAAAATTCTGTCCCCTTGAAAAAAACTCATTAATTCGTAAAAATTCCATACATTTTGGTCCCCTCGTTAATTCGTATTATTTGGCGCAACGCAAAGAATATTGAATCTCTTATAAATCGTAATTTTGTTTCGTAACCTCTTATAAATCGTAATGCAATGCGAAATTTGTTGTAGTTAAAGCACCGTTAGATTTTGCAGACAGCTATTATTTTAAGGCTTGAATTTTTGTTTTTTATAATTTAATGTTCCTGCTTAATTGTTTAATTTTTTGTTATTCTAATTTTATGTAATTGTTTAATTTTCCTTTAATTTGAAAAACTTACAAATGAATGTACATACTTATAACGTTTGTTTAATTTTAATAAAGTTAAATACATATGCAAACATGATGTGAAATGTAAAAACCCCGGTTATTCGACTCTTTCATTTTTGAGCCCCGTTAAATAGAAATCCCGATAAATCGAATTCCCGTCTAATTCGTAAAAAAAAGTGATCCCCTTGCCATTTCGAATTTTCGGGACTCGACTGTATTATGTATTATTAATATTTTTATGTTTGTGTTTTTGTTTTAAATTTCATAATATTTATATGTTTTCATATTTAAAAAAAAGTTTGTTTTTGTTAATCTTTATTTCGAGAAATCAAAGAAATGGTTTTGCTAAATTTATTTAAATTATTCATTGAGTGAAGATGTTGCCACCGACACTCTGAAGTCTGTGGTAAAAAGTCTCACGTCTACCAAACCCGAGGGATGCAACTTTAAAATATAAGAATATTCAAAAGGAAGTGTTGATACCATACAGTATATGCTGATTTTGAATGCATCCTTCAACCTATTAATATAAATGAAACATTAAATTTAAATATATTAAATATTCATAAGCCTATTTCATATGCATACTATATAAAGTGTGAACATGATAATAGTTTAGATAAGTTTGTTTTAAAAACTAAATTAAACTCAGGAATGAATTTCCTCATATCTCTTATAGAAAATTTAACACTTATATATGAGAATCATATTTCTAAAAATGTACCTATAATTATGTCTGATGTTGAAGAAGAAGATTTTAAAAAATCTATTAATTGTCATATATGCAACACTCCTCTTTTATTAGATAGAGTTAGAGATCACTGTCACTTCACAGGAAAATGTAGGGGTGCAGCAATTTAAAATATAAAGTCCCAAAATTTATTCCTGTTTTCTTCCACAATTTCACCAGGTATGATTGTTATCTATTTGTAAAAGATTTGGCTCTCATACCTGGTGAAATAAAGGTTATTCCATTAAATAACGAACAATTTATTTCAATATCCAAAATTATAACTTTTAGTAATGGTGAAAACTTTGAAATCCGTTTTCTAGATTCGTTTCGTTTTATGCCTTCTGCATTAGACACATTAGCTTCAAACCTGGATAGTAAACGAATGCAAATTACAAAATCATTTTCCCCAAATGAAAATCAGTTTAACCTTATGCGAAGAAAGGGTGTATTTCCTTATGAATATTTTGATTCAGCTGAGACATTCAAAGAAAGTATATTATCTCCTAGAGAAGCTTTCTATAGTTCTTTAACTGAAAATGAATCTTCAAACGAAAATTACACACACGAACAAGAGGTATGGAATGAGTTTTCATGTGAGAACTTAAAAGATTATTTAGAGTTATATTTGAAAACAGATGTTTTATTAATGACTGATGTCTTTAAAAACTTCCGAAAACTTTTCACTAAAATTTATTCACTTGATCCAGCACATTTTTCACAACACCAGGTTTATCATGGGAAGCTATGTTGAAATGTACTAAAATTGAATTAGATTTATTAACTGATATAGATCAGTATAAATTTATTCAAAGTGGTATTCGAGGTGGCTTAGTACAATGCACATGTAGATATGCTAAAGCAAATAATAAATATGTTGATAATTTTGATAGTACTCAAAAATCATCATATTTAATTTATTTGGATGCAAATAATTTATATGGTTGGGCTATGTCACAATCTTTACCATATGGAGGTTTTGAATGGGTTTCAAGGGAATCACTTGATAGTATCAATATTTCAGAGATTGGAGATGATAGTGAATATGGATACATTTTTAAGGTAGATTTAAAATATCTTTTTAAATTACATAATAAACACAATGATCTTCCATTTTGTTGCAATAATAAATTACCAACAAAGACAGATAAAATTACAAAATTAATTGCTGATTTAAGGGATAAAGAAAAATATATTATTCATTATAAAAATCTTCAACAGTGTATAGAAAATGGTTTAATTCTAACAAAAAATTTCAGAAGCCTTGGTTAAAAACATATATTGACTTGAATACATTCCATAGAACTAATGCAAAAAATGCATTTAAAAAAGATTTTTTTAACTTCTAAAAATTGCTGTCTTTTTGAAAAACCATGGAAAATGTGGATAAACGAGTGGATGTAAAGTTAATTACAGAATGGGAAAGTGCTTCACCATTAGACTCTTCTGGTCCTAAAAGACATTATGCTAGATCTCTTATTTCAAAGTCCAACTTCTTTCCTTTTTAAATGAAAAGGTTAAATGTGTTATACAATAAACCATTATATTTCGGTTTTGTTGTATTAGATTTATCAAAATGAAAAATGTATGATTTTCATTATAATTATATAAAACCCAAATACAATGAA